GGGTATCTGCTTGTAAACGAAATCAGATGCTTTAATTACTTGCTTAATAGGCAGTCAATCAGAACTATCTTCACTTATAGTTTTAATCTCTGCTTAGCATATCCCAATACCTAGTACTGTAGGCTCAAATAGCCAAGTAACCCTGGGAAAATTCTTGGTTGTGATAAGGAGGCTTGTCTTACTTCCAGGGGATGAAGATTAATTATATGGTTTGTTTTCACTGTTGGCAGGCTGTTTGATATAATCCAGATTATGATTAAGTGTAACAGGTACTGCACAAAGTGTTGAAAACTGCCTGAAAGGCTAGTTCTCTGTCTCTTGTATAGGTTAATTTCTGTGGTGTTGGCATGGTGCAGAGATCAGAACTTTAGAACTACAAGGGGGGGGGGGGGGGGGGGGGCTGTCTGTCTGAAGTGCACCTGCATTCTGTGCTTTACCTAGAATCTTTCTCCAACTGTTGCCTAGGGGTGTGCCATCTTTCACTGGCAGTAGTATCAACACACCCCATCAGCTGCTCTAGAAATTAGTTTAGTATTAACTCTTTGATCTTTATCAGCATGAAGAAAACTGCTTAGATTCTTACCAGGTGGTAGGGAATATGGCAGAGTGGTTTAGAAGGGAGTAAGTATCTTGGAAACTGGCTGGAAACTATGTACAGTTTCTGTTCACTGTCATTAGGTACACGCATGGAACAAAAAAGAAAGTGCTTTCTGATTTTTAAACTGTTAGCATAAATTTGGAATGCCTTTTCACAGGGCCCTTTTCACAGACCTCAGCAAGATTTCTTGGATGTTAAATTGTTGTTCTTTACATGAAATTCATGCTTACAATATTGACTTATTAAGATATCTGTCATATATATTTTAACTTACTTTTTAATACTCAGGCCCGTGTTTTAAGATGCATTTGAAGTCAAATCTTTGCCATAAAAGCCAACCCAATGCCACCATATTGTTTAACTAAGAGAAATATTGAAGGATATTGTTTTGTATAACCCAGAAATGATATTTGAATGCTTACTTTCTGTGCTACTTATAACAGGGGCAGATAAGCAGGTAAATTTAAGACCAAAAATTTGAAGAAGTATAGTTTTAAAGTGCTTTTATGACTAATTGAGTGATATATTTAGCTTATCCCTAGGTATGTACTATGTAGACTTCATTTGAGTCATATAAGAAACTAGTAGAAGTGCATTTCCGAGAAACCACACTCACTTTATATGTTACTGTAAGTACAGCATTATGAAAGGGACATTACTAAAACTAGCTGTTGAGTTCTTTATGCCCCTTCTAAAATTTTATTGTTTATAATCATTTGATAAAGGCTTTTTGATTATTGTCTTGACATGCATTGATTGAAAGCAGTTGCAAATTTTATCATGAAAATATGGTTTTAAAAATATCACAATTAGGCTACTATCACAACAGGCTGATGTGGATATGTAATGGAATAAATAAATACATAAATAGATTTTCATCTTTTGCAAAAACTCTTGCAGGTCCCCCTATTTATTAGAAAGAAAGAAAAGAAAAATAATCTATTCTTAATTGAAGAAATTGTGGTTTCATCTTTGATCTCAGAATTGCTTCAATGTTTGCTTCTTACACTGTTTCCGATGTCAGAGCCAATAACTTAGTTGTAAAGACACTAAACGGGAACAGATCCTTGCTCTTTGTCATGTGTTCCTGACAGAACACCATGGGATGTTGAAAACAACATGCCAACTTAATGCCATATATTTCACTTGGTCTCTTGTGTGATATAAAATATACTTTCTGAGAACATAATAACAACAGTTGGTAAAGCCTGTCTTGTTAGATCATGATCCCTTTCACATGCCAACCGCATGTATGGCGCTGATATTTTACCTAAAGTTGTTGTATATTAAAATTTGTGCTGAAGCTTGTTAATTAAAGTTTTCGCTGTATCTGTTTTGGAGAGCTTTGGAGGATCATGAAGCCTAGAATATTCAGAATATTTTCTTACCAGAAACTTATTAAATATTGTTCAATGGTGATTGTTTCCATCTTAAACACCTTACACCTAATGCTGTTCTACAATATGTGGGCTCCCCATTGTACTGATCTAGTGTAAGTAGAATATCAAGAATCTCTTAAACTGCATTTCTCATGTTGAAGTATTTTCTGTCACATAGTCACATTTTCCAAAATCTGTTTTTATTCACTGAAACTAATATGTTGCAAACAAAGAAACTGCACTATTTTTTACCAAGACATATTGTTATTATCTACTTAAAGCAGGATTTAAACAACTTGGCAAATGAAGTTCAAATCTGGAAATGCCAGAGGTTGTCATGATTTGCAGGTAAAACCTTCAGCAGGTGCTGACACCTGCAGGCAACAAGTTCCCTCCTCTGGTTTTATGAATCCTGTATTTGCTGAAGATACTGTGTAGTTTTGTAGGGGGCTTGATGATAGTGGGTTGACATTGAGCGAATATCCATGATAAGAACTACGGAATAAACAGTTCATTGTTCACTAATGATTAACCAGAAAGTGGTGTGATACAGGACCAAGTCCAGGGTTATTGCATTATCTTGCACGGAGTTGGAGCTATGCCACAAATATCTATTGTTATTTGATTACTGGTATAGTAATGACATGGTAAACAGTCTGTAAGACCCAGACAGTCTATTGTAGTCTCCCAGTATGAACAGTGGGATTTTTATTAATGCACCAAAGTGCTCAAGTGCATTTCCAAGGTGGAAGGCCCAATATTTACATGTTTGTTATGCACTCTGGCTTTTAAGTCTGTAGTATCATCGTTGGCATCCTTCCCATGTTCACTGTGGCTTTTACCAAATTTAATCAGACTGCAGATTTATCTTGGTAAATATGTAAATATGTTCTCTAATCCTATTTATTAATTTGGAACATGGATTCAGTTCCAGTGCACTATTTCTGATAAAGTCCTGATTGGTGTAGTGTTTTATCCCTTAGCTTGAACGTGTTTACTCAATGCATTGGTCATCAGTAGTGATGGGACGTGATTGCTGCGGTGGTTGGGACCCAGGTGACCGTGTTGTGGCAGTGGGGGGACCTGAATTCATATTTGTTTTGAGTCTGACTGTATTGTCCCAGGTCTGAGTACAGGAAAGTGTACATGTACAATATGAGATACACAATAATGTAAACAATAATTCAAAACAACATTTTTGAAAATAATTAAAAAATTCCAATCCATAATTGTTTGTTTGTAGTTTCTGCGTAGTATATTTGTTAACTGACAACCTTTCTTCAACCATCCTATGATTATCAGTGACATCAGGCATTACTCAGTTTGATCTTGAAACAAGTTTGTTATCAGTGAAGTGTTTCTGTTGCTGACTAGTGAGACCTCCTGCTGGCCCTGCTGTTAGTGTCAGCTATTGTGTGTGGGTGTTTTCTTTTGTTGTCAGTGTCACAGTTATGCACTGACACACACAACTTGACACAGAAACGTTCTTAAAAATCTCTTTATTTCATTCAATTCATAGATAAAATCCTTGGTTAAATAGGTTGCAGGTGGTTAATTGAAAATTCCCCGTATTCTGCTTGTCATTTTTCCGCTTGGCTGTGGTTTACCTCGGTGCCTCTGTGTAACATTACCATGTCTTGAAGCTGCCTGCACCAGTGAGGCATCCCACTGCTGTGTGCTGTGTCAGAGATGAACTATGTGCTGCTGCCACTGCGTAGGCTGTAACAACTTAGGCCGGCTGTTGGAAACCTGCCCATTTTGCTGAGAGGAAGCAAGTATGGGATGTTTCTTACATCACCGTGGCCTACATCACCTGACAAGCAGAGTCACACTAGGATGGACATTATCAAAAGTGTGACGTATCAGTGTGCTACTTCTTAGTCAGGTTTGGTGATAAAACTGTGATGGTGATATTGCAATGCAGATGTATTTATGATGAATATCCCATTTCCACCTCAAGGGGTTAGCTACATTATTCAAGTGATGCTATTCTCTTAGTCTCCGGGATGAAATAACCTTGAGATAAGAGACTGCATGGTACAGAACTTATGACATGGGCACAAGGATGTGGAGTTTACACTCCTGTTGATTACCTATGTCATAATTGATTTAAGTCTCAGTGTGTGGAATACTTTGAATTGCTGCCCTGCCAGAGATGTTTATTAGTTACGTGATGAGGGGCAGGTCCCACTAGATTAAAACAGCAGTTGTTTTCTTACTTCATTTTTTGTTAGGCAACTGAGTCATAAATGAAGAAAATCTGTTTGGCATTGTCAATATCAAGTGGAATGATGACAGTGTTGTGTTGGGTTCTAAGGAAGTTTGTCCCATTTATCATTGCCAAGTAGGCTTCTTATCATTTGATATACCTGAAATACAATGGCACGGACAATACACACATTTTTTCTGGTTATTTCATTTATCTATTCTTGTAATTTTAGTAGGTTGCTTTCTTGCTGGGGAAGAGAAATGTGGTTCTGATGATAGAAAACTGGTTTCAAATCACTGGAAGTCTTTGTGAATAATAATGGTGCATATTTTTATCTTAATGACATTGTTTATTATAATTTTTTTATAAAAAAAAAGAATGAAGAGCTTCACATGGAAACTGTTGGTCAGTAGCATGTAATCCTCCTCCCTTACAATCCCAGCAACCCTACATTGTAGTGGTTACACAAAAAATATTTATATTTGCTGATGTCTTTAAAATAATTAGTCAATATTTTAAACAGCAACTTACTTGTTCAAACATCATAGGTTGTGATTGACATTGAGTAACCGCTGAAGAAGGGTGTTTGTTTTATTATTATAAGGACACTTTGATTCATTCAAATCCACCATTTGTGTGTCATTTGATACTGATTACGGAACCAGTGACAGTAGTCCTGGAGCTATTGGCTTAACCACAAAATACTCCAGTTGATTGAAAACAAGGTTGGCTCAGGATAGGTAATTGTTCCCTTCCTCAGCTGTTATCAGGTTTAAAGAAACCTATTTCTAAAGCGGGCAGACACCAATACCTTCAACACAGTAGCGTCATTTTGCCAAACCATGTAGCAGAACAACTGATACAACTCTTTTTATCAACTCTTTGTAATATGAGGAGCTGATTGTGGGGGGAACTGAGTGTGGTTGAGTGGTATTTGTAAAGCTATATAATTTGTGGTTAGCATTTTTTTCATATTGAATAGCCAACCTTGGATAAGTTAGCATATTGTGAGCCATAGCCTTTTTTGAGACCACAAAATACTGGCTATTTAACAAATGTCCTACATAACAAACTGCCATCTCTTCCTTGCATGAATGAGCACACACACTCCTGAATTCACTCTCATAATAAGTGCAAAAAGGATTAATTGCTGATAATGAGATAATTAACGTATTGATTAGCCTTGCCCATTTAATTTACATCTTTCCTGTATACATGATTGTACAGTTTAACTCCCTTATTTCTGAATGCATATACCTGTAGCTAATTAAGTATATGCTGTGTTTGGGTTTTATCTGGTAGATCTGTTCTCTGTTATTATTATCTTAATGAGTTGACACCCTGCCAGATCAGTGATAACAAAATGTTTCATACCCATTCTGCTGGAAAAGTCGATGAAAACCAGCAGGTTTTACTACCTGGTTGGGCTTTTCTTAGGTGTTTGTTCAAGAAAATGAAGCATGATTGCCTTCCCTTAAATTGAAGGCACACTATGAGCATTAGGCCTTTATATAACAAAAAAGTATGAATTTTTTCTGGGAGATTTCAATTCTTTTTTCAGCAAGGTATACCATATCCCATTATAATCTATAAAATCATTAAAGTTCTAAAGTTCGTAGTTTTTTAAGTCATTCTTGCAATGGATAAACAACAGAAATTTAGAAATGGGTTTATAGATAGTAACTTTCATAGTGGTTCTAGTGATAAAGGGGAAATTTCTGAAATTTTCAAGAAAAAAAAAATTGACAAGGGACCAGATATTTCCTGTGTTAGACATGCATGAAAACAGAAAGTTTACCTGTATTTTTTCAGTTAAACATGCTGTGTGTGTACAGGCAAGCGAATCAAATTTTTAAACAAGAAATTTGAATTTGAAATATCTGGATTTTTTCAGATGGTTGTATGCATAACACATAAGTCTCTCAAAGATAACTAAGAAAATGTGAAAAGCTGATACTCAGCCACTAGACAACAAGTTAAACTGGGAGAGGTTGGTGATCATACTTATGAACTAACAATATCTATGATCTAGAGGGTGTCTGCTATATTTTTCTGTGCTGCATCCTTTCTACGACCACTGCAATCGTGAATTTTTTAAACTCTCACACTGACTGTCTTTCTCCGTTTTTTATCACATATTTGCAACTGTATGTAGAATTTCTTTTGGTATTTATTCCTGCCATTGGTCACAGGGCCCCAGTTACCCTGGGGGGGGGGGGG